CCCCACCCGCCCCCGCAGGGCACCTGGACGCGCGCGGGGTGCGCCGTGTGCGCGTCGCCTCTTGCAGGGTTACCCTCCCACCCGCAGCCAGGGACAGCTGGTGGAACCCCGCTGTGCGCAGCCACGCGCCCCGAGGCGGGCACCCAGCGGCCGCCAGCCGCGCCCTGGAGGCTCCTTCCCGCAGGGGGGCCGCAGGGCCTGATGTGGGAGAAGGACTGGGCACCACGTGGAGTCTCGAGTACAAAGTTATGTATTTCCAGACCCGCGCGCTGGCGGGGCGGGGCGCTGTACACGGCGGGGACAGAACACGCTGGCGCCGCGCCTCCCTCCTCCCGCGAAGGCACGTCGTCCCCTGGGACTCGGACGCAGCAGTGGGGAAGAGGCCGGCCAGCCGGGCACCCGGGGGCGAGCGGCGCGGTCCCAGCAGGCACCGACTTTGGGCGCGGCCGCCCCGCGCCGCAGCGAACGCCTGTCCCCGGTTAGTCCATCCCCGGGCACTGTCAGATGCCGCGCCCCACTGCTCCGGGGCCTCCTGCCTCCCTCACTTTGGGGGGCTGAGGGCCCTCAGAGGGGACCCCTGCACATAGGCCAGGACGGCGTTTTGCAGGAAGCTGGCCCTCTGGGCCTCCTCGTCCCGGATGCGGGCGATCTCGGCCTCCTTGAGCCGCAGCCTCTCCCGCAGGGACGCGTTCTCGCTCTCTCTGTCCAGCAGCGCCTCCCGGTGGTCGCTCGCGATCACTGCAGGGCGGAAGGGGCGCGGCACTGCCTGAGCACGCGCCCCCCAGGAGCGAACACCCCGGCCAGCTCAGCTCTGCAGCCCGGCCTCGCCTTCCCACCCGATGTGAGCACGGGTGCTGAGGTCACAGGCTCACCCTTCTGCTGGCGCTCCAGGGCCGCCACCTTCTCCCTCAGCGCCTCCTGGGCCGTCAGCTCTGCCTGCAGACGGCCGTTCTGCTCCTGCAGCTCCACCCGCACCCTGGTCACCTCAGCCACCTTTTCCTGGTCCTTGTTGCTCAGCTCCTGCCAGGCACAGGGGGTGAGATGGGGGCGGGGCACCCTGGCAACCCAGAGTCCCCAAAGCTCTGGCTACCTGCTGCAGTTCCTCCAGGCGCCGCCGCAGGCCCTCCACCTGCAGGCTGAGCTGGCTGGCCCTGGCCTGGGCCTCGGCCACCGTCTGCTTCTGCTGCAGGCACGCGCCCTGGGCCTCGTCCCGAGCCTGTGCCAGCAGCCGCAGCTTCTCCTCCAGGTGAGCCAGGCGCTGCTGCTGCAGGCACAGCAGGGCTGCTGAGCTCCAGGGGGACTGTGCATGTGGGTGACCCCCCCACCTGACCAAGGGGAGGAGCCGAATTGTCACTCGAGCTATTACTTGTTCTGAACCTGCTCAACTTGCACGTGCCCCCAGAAGCACCCTTCCTGGGCTCCCCTCCATTTCCCAGGCAAGCCTCCAGTCACAGGCCAAATGTGTGGGCCAAACCCTCCACACATCTCAGGCCTGGACCCCGGAGCTGAGACCTGCTCGACACTGCTCTTTGCAGGAGTGACATATGTGTGCTGATCTGACCTTTTGCCCTCTGCACTGTGGGCTCTTCAGGGCCCTGATCTGGAGCCAACAGCCCTGGTCTTGCCCCTTCAGCCCTGCGACCTGCAGTCTTGCAAGGCATTCCACAGCCTGTGTCTGTGGCCTGGCTCACCTCCTCCAGGCGGGCCTGGCTCTTGGCCTTGATGAGCTCCTCCTCAGCCTGGCCGCGCTCGGTGAGAGCCACTGCCTTCACTCGGCTCAGCTCCTGCAGCACAGACAGCCCCTGCTAGCCTGCTCTCCTGCCCTGGACCAGGGACACCCTGACAGCCACCCCTAAGGGCCATGAGACTGCATCTGCCACTCCACTCACTGGGCAGGATTTCCATGGCCAAGCGAGCCTGAGGGCCACCCTAAGTCCCTCCGGCCTCTTGGGGACACTGGTGGGTGGGTCCCCAAGGTGGGGCCTGATGAAGTTCTGAGACCAGGAAAGGGTACCCCGGGGTCTTGAGGCTGGGAACACCAGGGCTGCTATTCCTTACCTGACTCAGGGCTAAAGCACAGGGAGGGCAGAGCAAGGTCCCCTGCCTGACGAGCCCCAGGCCCAGTGTGCGCTCACCTCCTCCAGGGACAGCCGCATGGCCTCCAGCCTCTGCACCCTCTCCTGCATGACCCTCTCACTTTCCTCCAGGTGGCGGGTCATATGCTCCACCTGCCCAGGTGTGGGGGTTGGGAGGTCAAGGCTGGCAGGCAAGGGCTCTCCCCGTAACCGGCCTTCCCCCTAGAGAATCCCCACCCTGGAAGGCAGGTCTCTTGGGGACTCTGTTTCTTCCGAGAACAGGCTGCCTCAAGTGGCCTGAGGACAGAGGGCACATCCCAGCCATGGTATCCCAGGATGAGCAGCCTGAATGGGAGAGGCTAGTGCCTCTTCAACTGTGGGAGCACACTGCAGCCTGCATGATGCCGCAGCAGTCGGGGTCCCCTACCAGCCCCGAAGGAGGTTCAGGGTCCGACAGCCACTCAGGCTGGCCAAGAACCGCCACCCAGCAACCTAGGAGTGCTTTGGGGACACCACATCACACCAAGGCCAGTCTGCAGGCACCAGGGGAGATTGGGGGAAGCCAGGGGCCAGTTTATGTCAACTAAGAAGGCACCTCCTTGAAACGCAGGTTTTCTGCATCCTCCAGGCTCTGCTTAGATCTCCTCTTCTCCATATCCAGGCGCTCTGGAAGACCAGTGGGGAAGAGCGCAGGTCAGTCTCCCCTGGGAGTTCCCTCGGTCCCCTGGCCCGTCCCCCAGCCTCACAGGGGCAGGCCTGCCCGCGCCCACCCTCAGCCTGGACGGCCCGCATCTTCAGCTCGGCCGACGTGTTGGTCAGCTCCTGCCTGGTCAGGAACAGCTGCTCCTGCTGAGATTTCACCTTCCGCTCCAACTCGTCCACCTACAAAGTCGGCACCACAGGAGGGAAGCTGCGCCCCAGCACTGCCGGCGCCCACCCTGGGCTCCCTGGGTGCTGGGCCCACACCCCTCACACCTGGTTCCGCAGAAGCAGGTTCTTCTCACTGGCAGCAGACAAGTCTCGGAGGAGCTTAGACTCCCGCTCTGCAGCTTCCTGGGAGTGGGACAATGTGAGGAGCACTACCTGTCACCCTGCCCGCCTGTCCCACACCTGCCTGTGGCCCTGCCTGCCCACCTGCTGCTCCAGCTTGCGCTCCTTGGCCTGCTTCTGTGACAGACTCAGCTGCTCCTGCTCTGCTGTGGCCAGGAGCTGCCCCAGGTCCTGGACTTTCTGCTCCGACAGAGCAAGGGCAGCCTCGGTCATCTGTAGCCTGCAAAGAGGAAGGGCCAGCCCCGCCCCAGCTCCGTCAGGAGCTGCATGTGCCTTGCCCAGGCCTCGCTTTTTCTCTCTTGCCAGGCCCTGTTCAAACCCCAGCCAGCACTTGCTGCCCCCAGAAAGCTTTCCTGGGTTACTGCCCCAGTACCCTCCCGGGCCCTGTGGGACGTCTCTGAAGTACTCTGCAGCCCATCTCCCCTGCTTACTTGGCCTTGAGGGCGTTGATGATGGAGTGCCTCTCGTTCAGGGCTTCTTGAAGCTGCCCCACCCTGGCTGCTGACGCCCTGTGGACAGAGGATGGTGCCAGGGAAAGTACCCTCTTGGCACTGGCAGCAGCTGCCACTCCTTGCTCATCCACGGCACTTCCGGCACAGCTGCTGCCCCTGCCACTGACCCTCCAGCCCACTTCTTGGGAAGTATATGTGGCAACCTTGTTCATGGGCAGGTGACAAGACTCAGGATAGGTCACACTGAGCATGGAGCCAGGACCCGAAGCCCAGACACCCCAGCAGAGCCACAGCCCTGCCTCCCGGGGCATGGGTCACGCACCTGCTGCTCTTGGCCATCTCTTCCCGCTGCTTATCGATCGTCTCCATCAAGTCCAGAAACTGGGGACAGAGTCAGCCAAAGCCCTGTCAGGGTCCAGAGCCTGCCGACCCTGCCCTGGTCACGGGGAATGACAGGAGATACCCAGTGATGCGGCCAGGAGTGAAGGATTTGTCTCCCTGCCTCACTGTCTCATTCAAAGGGAGAATGTCTCCTGTAGAGAGAATCCTGGGAGCTCAGACGCCAGCTGTCTGGGGAAGCCAGCTCGGGTCAGACAGGGACCGCCTCTCAGTCCTGGGTATATCGGCTTGGACAGGTTCCAGGGCCCACAGAATGGAAAATGGTAAACTACAGGGCTGAGGGTGGTAGAAGGCAGCCAGGGCGGGGCTGGAGAGCAGCTCTGAGGTCAGCAAAGACGCCACCCTCACCTGCTTGGACTTCTCCTCCCGGAGATGCTGGACCTCCTTGCTGAGGACGTGGGTGCGGGCCTGGTTCTCCCGGAATGTGGTATGCCGGTCCTGGTTGTGGTCCATGGCTTGTTCTGCCAGAAAGAGCCAAGTCACCCACTGGAGGGCTGCTCAGCCTCAGGAGTGGCCGGCGGCCAGCCCAGCCCTGAACGGGGCTGCGTCTGGAAACTCTTTGGAAACCAACACTGTGCGAGACAGAATCTCTTGTAGCATCTCACCCAACAAATCAGATGTACTCCCCAGCCCCCCTAAGTGCACTGGGGGGAAAGCCCTCCAGTGGGGGTGGGGCCACAAGCACAGGAGGCGCCTGGTGTGGGGAGCACAGGCTGGAAGGAGAAAGCTGCTCCACCGCCACAGAAGTAAGTGCCATCGTGGGGCATTTGGCCTCCACTCCAAAGGTCAAGAGCCTGCGCGTGACTTAAGTGAATGCTGTGCTCAGCTCCTGTGTTCTGAAAAGATCCAGGCAGCATGTGGATAAAGGCCAGAGGCAGCGAGGGCAGCGTGGAGTTGGAGACATCGTGGGGGTGGGGCAGAGCCAGCAGGAGGCAATGCCCCTCGGGTGTGGAGGAAGCTGGGGATGCCCGCAGGAGGAGCTGCGGGGTGTGCAGAACCACTCTGCTGGGCGTAAGGCTGAGGTTTCAGCTACAGGGTCACAGGGGTCACTGTCGGGAGGGGAACACAGAGGCTGCATTTATGGTAGGAGCAGCACTGGCAGGCGGTCTCATTCCCATATAGCTCACAGCACGGCCACAGACTCGGGTGACCAGGGGCAAGTGCCAAGAAGCCCCTCCCTGGCTGTGGCCTGGGCCACCTTGCAGCATGGGCACGGCCAACAGGGCAAAGGCTCTGAGCCATGTGGCCTCAGCTCCCCCATGAAAGTGGTGGCTGCTCACTTCATGGGTCCTAAGAACAGGGTGGGAACATGCGAGGCCTCAGATGGCACCTGTGTGGGAACATGCGAGGCCTCAGACAGCACCTGTGTGTGGCAGCTGCTCCTGCAGCTGCTTCCTTTTGGCTGTTCTAGGCTGTTCTTATCAGTGTATGTGGCCTGACCCCCGGCCGCCCCTTCCTCCGGCACTGGTCTCTGTCAAAGGGCTTTAGGCCTTGCTGCAAACAGTGCAAGTGGCCAGCAGCACCATGTGCCCATACCCACGGCTCTGAGGACATCGCCAGGGACGTTGTTCCCAGCCAGATCCAGCCTCCACAGTGTTCTGTTGCTGGAGAGACAGCTCACCAGGGCCCGGCCCCCCAGGAGGCCAATGTTATTCCAGCGCAGGTCTGGAAGGAAACCTGTTGTCACGAGATGAACTGCACCTGGTCGGAGAGGCTTAGCCTAGAGTGCCCCTTTGGGGAGTACTGCCTGTGGTCGTCAACACTGTGGGAGCTCAGGCTGCCCCTCCTCCCCACCCCCTTACTTGCAGGGGGATGGAGCAGCAGCAGAAGAGTGAGGGAGGATGGGACGCAGCCCTCACCCAGCTGCTGGAGGCTGGTGTTGCCCTTCAGGGCCAGGGCCAGCTCCTCTGCACCCTTGTGGCTGATCTGGTTGTTGCGGAGGTCCAGCTGCTGCAGGGCGCCATTGGCCGCCAGGCTCCCGCAGAAGGTGGCGAAGGCATCTTCCCACGCGCCCAAGTTGTTCCACTCCAGGGTAAGGCTGCAGGAAGGGTGGATGCGAGTCGCCCGGTACAGAGGAGTGCCCTGCCCCTTTGTGGTCCGGGGCTTGAGGAGGGGTGTGGGGTCAGGGGTCTCTGGTGGAGATCAGAGCCTTGGAGTAACTCGTATCTACCTACTCCCCACCAACAGATGTGAAATATGGATGACAAGCCCAAAGGATAGAACTCCTTTGGGTTGCAGGACTGTGTCCTATGGGGCCAACACTGAACCACACAGAGTGGGTGCTGGGGGGTGAGGGTCAGGACCACCACCCTACCTCTGAATGGACTTGTTCTGTCGCAGGAGTTTTCCCAGAGCCTCGGCACCTGCAGCTCGGAGGTTATTGCCCTAAGACATGAATGGCCGGCCAGTCACTCCCATTGCCTTGGTTGGGCTCTGAATACCCCGTCTATTCCCCACAGGGCCCTGGTCAGGCAGTGGATGAAGCCAGGGAGGCGAGCTCTGGTCAAAGGCGCGAGTCCTTTTGGATCCTGGTTTCCCTGACTTAGTGGGCTTCCTGGGGCCAGCTCACTCGGTTTATCTATGTGAGTGCTCTACCCTCGAGACACACACACGTGAGACAATTGGAAGACAGCGCAGGGCCCGTAAGCCAAGAGTGCATACAGACACGGCCTGCAGCCACTGTCCCTGGGACCCTGCGTCTCCCCCCTACCCCTCCCCTCAGTGGCGACCCCCGGAGTGCACGTCGGTTCACCTTTAGGTCCAGGAGCCGCACGACAGTGTTGGTGCACAGCCCTCGGAGCAGCAGCGTGGCTCCTGTATGGGAAAGCAGGCTGTCACTCTCGCCCCAGCTTGTTCTAAGCCCCTCCATGGGGGCCCCATCTCAAGGCAGCTTCCCAGATGCAGGGCAAGGACGACTGTCCCGGTGGTCCCACTGGTCTGGGTTCACACCAGAAATGAGTCCCGATGTGAGGTTACCCTTGAAATGTCTGCAACCCCTGCTGGGCACCGAGCCAGGCCACTGAGCCCTTGCTCCCACCAGCCCACGGGGAACTACAGAAGCCGGGGGAATTTAAAGCTTCTCCTTGGTCATAACGAGAAACTGCCCTCCACTCCCAGTCTTCAGGAGGGGACGCTACTGCTCACGTTAACTACTTTACAAAAAGCAGGGAACCTCGAAAAGAAGAGATCTGGCTGCCAAAGCAAGCTCTAAGGCGACAGGCTTGAACGCTGCCCTGGAGCGGCAGAGGCTGCGCCGACCCCTGCAGGCCCGGGGGCGTGCCCACCTTCGTCGCTCAGCATGCAGTCACTCAGGATGAGCTCTATGCACAGCGCCTCGCTCTGCAGCAGCTTGCCCAGGGCCCTGCAGGTGTCCACTGTCAGGCTCTGCGTGGCCAGGTCCAGCCGGCCCCTCGGAAGCTGGTGCAGCTGCTGCAGGACAGCCTCCTGGGGCTCAGCCCCACTCTCCCTGCACAGGCGGCTGTAGGAGCGCCGGAACTCCTCCATGTCCCGGGTGCCTCCTCCGCGTGCGCTGGAGACGGGCCTCGCGTGAGCCAGCGGGGGCCGGGCTTCCCCTGCCACCGGGTTCCCGGCGCTGCGCCTCTGTCCAGGGGGCTGCGCGGAGCCCCCGGCCGAGGGCAGCTGCTGAAGAGAAAGCCGCTCAGCGTGGGGCAGCCCCGGCGTGGGGCGCGGGAGACGCCGCCTCGGCAGACCGGCAGCGAGGGGCAAAGCGAGCTGGCCGTGTGGGCGGGAGGCCCTGGGTGGGCCAGGCAGGTGGGTTTTCGAGGGACCCGGTGCAGGGAGGACGTACCCCGGCCCCCGCAGCCGCTCCCGCGGTCCGCAGTCCCCCCGGCCCCCGCGCCCACGCCGCGGAGACGGGCCTCGCGTGAGCCAGCGGGGGCCGGGCTTCCCCTGCCACCGGGTTCCCGGCGCTGCGCCTCTGTCCAGGGGGCTGCGCGGAGCCCCCGGCCGAGGGCAGCTGCTGAAGAGAAAGCCGCTCAGCGTGGGGCAGCCCCGGCGTGGGGCGCGGGAGACGCCGCCTCGGCAGACCGGCAGCGAGGGGCAAAGCGAGCTGGCCGTGTGGGCGGGAGGCCCTGGGTGGGCCAGGCAGGTGGGTTTTCGAGGGACCCGGTGCAGGGAGGACGTACCCCGGCCCCCGCAGCCGCTCCCGCGGTCCGCAGTCCCCCCGGCCCCCGCGCTCACGCCGCGGACCCTCGCTCGCTCCGCTCGTTCTACGCGGCCGCCGCCGAGCCTCAGTATCCAGGAAGAGCGGGGCGCGCCGGGAAGCGGCCGGCGGAAACTACAACTCCCAGGAGGCTTTGCGGGGAAGGTGCGGGCCGCGGGCCAATGAGAGCGAGGACCGGGGCGCGCGCTGCGGGCTCATTCGCTGGCAGCTTGGAGGCGGGGCTCCAAGGAGCATGCTCCGGCTTATTGGCTGCGGGCCCCGGGACTGGGCCCCTAGAGGGCGCGCTCCAACTTATTGGCTGGGGACTCGGGGGCGGGGCTCCTGGAGGGCGCGCTCCACGCTTATTGGCTAGGGAGTCAGGGACAGGGCTCCTGGAGGGCTCGCTCCAACTTATTGGCTGGGAACTCGGGGGCGGGGCTCCTGGAGGGCGCGCTCCAACTTATTGGCTGGGGACTCGTAGGGCTGGGCCCGAAGGGCGCGCTCCGTGCTCGATCATTGGCTGGGGCACAGGGGCGGGGCCAGAGGGCGCTCCGAGGCGGCGGTCATGGAGGGCGCGGGCTTCCGCAAGGGGAGGCCGGCGACCGGGAGTAGGGCGCTGGGGCGGCCGTCTGCGCCGAGCCGGGTAGGGCCCGCAGAGCCCGGGCGGGGACCCCTCGAGCGGGAAGCGAGGCCGTCCCCGGCCGCTCCCTCGTGGCTAGGCGCTGCCTGGCGCGGGCGGCTCTCCGGGTGCCTCCTTAGCATGCACGTAGCACAAGGCACAGGTTCCCCGTCTACCAGCGGGGAAACCGAGACACGGAGACATTAGGGTCCGCTCGGGACCTGGGCTTGCTCCGCAGCCGTCGAGGACCCGCTGCTCGCCCCGTGCGGCTCAGTGTCTCCGAGCCTCGTTGCGTCGCTGTGCCTGGAGGTGGGAGGCACTGAGCGTCCTGGACGCCGGGAGCTGCGCCCTCGAGGCCTGGGGAGGGGTCTCAGCCCGTGGCGAACCCGTCCCTGGTGAGGACTTCGGCCCAGCGAGGTACCGGCGCATCCTCCGTTTCATCTGCATCAGTCTCTTCTCTGTCACCCAAGACTGTGGCTCTGCCCTTTGCCCAGAGGAGTTCATGATCTGAAAGCAAAGGTCACTGAGGCTTGGGCCACCTCACAGGGCGGTGGTGAGACTCCACCGGGTAATAACAAGCAGCCGGAAGGCTACTGTGGAGAGGAGAGCAGCCGTCTGTGCCTCCGTCAAGCTGACCTGGACAGCTAGAGCCCCGAGGGCTGTGGCCAGAGCTGGGGTGTGGTCACTACAGACTACGACGAGTGGAGCTGTCCCGGGTGACAGTGACAGGGAGGGAGAGGGGCACGAAACCCTGGCGTGGCACCCACGTCGGGACAAAGGCTGGGCGCGTCCCAGGGCCCTCCCCTTCAGTGCTGGGCCCTCAGGGATCCTGCCCTCTCCGAGGTCGTGGCCACCTGTGTGTGGAACGACTGCTTGAGTTATCACGATGTCCCTGGACAGCGGCCCCCTGTCTGGAGGGTTCTTCCAAGATCTTCTGGGGCAGCCATGTTGAGGGTCCCAGAGCAGACGGGGCAAGTGGCACCTTCTCTCTGCCTTTTCTGGTACCTTCCTGGTAGAGCGTGTGGTCAGCAGCCAGAAGGACCAGCAGATGGCGCTGAGCTCGCGTGGCTGTGAACAGGGACTTAGAACAGCTGGGCCTGATCTGGCCCCAGCACCGCTGACCAGTGCTGACTGTGTAGCAAATTCTCCCCCTCCTGTGGCTCAGGGATGCGTCCTGTCCACCCCATCCCATCTCCCGTCCCTCTACTCTTCAGCCTTGTTTCACTGTGTAGGGTGAGGCCGTGTGACCTCCCTGGGGCCTGGTTGATCCCCTGCTCACCTTCCCTGGCACCACCCTCCATCTCTGGGTTCCTGGGCGGCCACTGCTGCTACTCTCCCTCATCCCCAGCCGCTCCTGGCTGGCCCCCGCCCTCAGCGACCTGGCTTGGTCTGTGGCTTTACACCCACATGCTGCCACCCCCAAACCTCAGCTCCAGCTGCCCACCCAGCCACTCTGCCTCAACATCTCATGTGTCTGTCACTCAATTTGTCCCAAACTGAGCCCCTAAGTCCCTGGCCCCCCTTCCTGGCAGAGTGGCGCCATCCTTACAGGGTCTCAAGCCGTAGGAGTCTCAGCCTGGACTGCTTCCTCATCTCCATACTCCCTCCATCAGGAAGCTGCACAGATGGGCCCGGGCCGTGCCCCACCTCCATCGCTCCCTGGTCTCCACTCAAAACTCAGAACGATCCCCAGCTTCCTACCAAGGAAAGCTAGCCAGGCCTTAGGCCCTGTGCCTGGGCCCTCCTCCCCTCCAGCCTTGCTGCTCTCCACACGTCACCGCTACAGGACCACCTATGCCATGTCACAGGCTCCAGGGAGAGACGACGACAGGGCAGACAACGCCCAGAACAGGGTCTACCTCTATCACTGGGGGCTCTACTGCTGCCCCCAGGTCACTGATGGGGGTGCAAGATTATGCCAGGCCGAGGAGGACTCCTCTCCTTCTCCACTGCATGAGAGACTCCTCGTCCTCCTGCAGTGCTCCCCCAGGGAGGTTTCTCAGAGCCCCTCTCCCCAACCTCCTGCCTGCCCCGAGGCAGGCTGCTCACAGGCCCTGCCTCTCTCCACTCTTAAGCACCAGACTGGTCCTCATCCCCAACCCCAGGAAGGCCCCAGGGTGGAGGACACTTGCAGCTGGAAATGACAACTGTGTTCCATCCAGAATGAGATGCTGAGGGGCCCGCAGGAGTGGAGTGGGCTGTGGGCACGGGCACTAACCCCCTCCCGTTGCAGGAGCTGGTGGGCAAGCTGCTGCGCCTGCACTTCCAGGACAGTGGGACAAGAGGTGGGTGTACGGGCAGGCCTGCCCTGGGACCCTCACCCCAGGGTGTCGGGGTGGTGGGCAAGGGTGGGTCTCTGTAACCTGCTCCCCTGCCTTGCAGTCAGTGGGGACGCGCTGCAGCTCATGGCAGAGTTGCTGAAGATTTTCGTCACAGGTGAGCAAGGGACTGCACAGTGTCCTCTGGTGTCCGGAGTATTCATGATTCCTTTGGTTTTATTTCCCAGTGGGAAAACCAAGACACAACTTTCCCCCCGTTTGCCACAAGCACCTAAGCTCTGCCCACAGAGAAGCTGCCATCAGGAGCCACTCCTGGCTCTCCTGCGGGCTGCCAGCAGATGTGGGTGGGGGCCTGGGAAGGGGTCGGGGCTTAAGCCTCCACCCAGCTTCCCTCCTGTGTCGTGGCAGAAGCGGCCGTCCGCGGGGCCCGGCAGGCCCAGGCAGAGGACGTGGCCCTCGTGGGTGTGGATCAGTTGGAGAAGGTGCTTCCTCAGCTGGTAGGTGGGCACGGTGGGTGCAGGTGAGGGCCCTGGGAGCGGAGCCTCGCCGGTCAGCTAAGCACCCCTTCCCTCCACAGCTCCTGGACTTCTAGGGTCCCCGCCGTCACTGACGCTGCCCAGGAAATCCCACCGCAGCCCCATGTGGTCCCTGGTTTCAGATGGGGATGCACCTGAGGAGTCTGGATTGGATTCAAACCAGCGTTTACACATCTCCGGGACTCCCCTCCAGCCTCTGAGCGGCAAGGTTACTATGCACTGCTACCCACCTGGCGCCCTCTGCTGTGTTGATGACTGGGGGACAGCATCTAGGGGGGGACCCCTGCCCCTCTCACCTCCCGGGGGCAACTGCACCTGCCACAGCGGTCCTGGGGAGGCAGGTGCTAGGGGCAGGGCACGGCCTGCCAGCTGTCAGGCGGCCGTATGTGTTATACAAACAGAGCGACCGCCAGGGCTGCCTTCTTCCTGCGTTCCTGCCACTGACCTCAAAGCTGCTGTGCAGACTTTCAGCCATGTGACATTGCCCACGAAGACGCTTCCCTGAGCTGTAAACTTGCTCTCATACAGCAGCATTCATAAATCAAAACCACCTCTCCCAGCTGGGTCTTCTCCCTGCCATTAATCACCAAAGTCAAGTTGCTTCAAAGCCTCCCCTTTCCCGCCGCCTTGGTGGACGGGCACACAGCTCTCAGGAGCATAGCAGGAGGAATGCAGGGCATGTGTGACCAGAGCCCTGCATGTGGCCCACTCACCTGCAAGATGTGACTCCTGATCTGGGCCGTGGTGGCCACAGGAGCTACCACCAGCTGGCAATCATGTTTAGGCGTGCTGGCCAGCCTCAGGCCACCAGACCCACCAGCTGTGGCAGGACCACCATGGGCTCTGCCCCAAGGCCACACCCAAAGGTAGAGGAAAGGGCCTCCCCTCTGCCCAAGTCGGGGCTGCGTGGGACCCACCTACAAGACCCCACAGGAGGTCTGGCCACCCTCTGATGCTCAGAGGCCAATGCTAAGGAGGCAAGCAGGGTCTTGGGCCACCCGTTACCCTGCCACACCTTGTAGGTGACTTGGAGCTTCCCTCCCATCAGAGCCCAGGACAGGGAATACCCACAGGACCCTAGGCATTCAGCTGGCAGTTGAGACACCCACCAGCCTGAGGCCCCACTGAAGAACGTCCACACAGGAGTGTAGTCTGGTCCGGGGGCAGAAGGGACAACAGCTGCCCCACATCAAGCTGCCACCTCCTGGGGACTCCAAGCAGCCTCAGCAGGACCTTCGGAGGCAGCCAAGCCCCCTCATGCCCCTAGTGACTGATGACTGCCTGAGTTTGGGGCAGGCATCCTCTCTGATTTAGCCACACGGGCCTAGGGCCCGGCTGGGCTCTGAAGGCTCAGCTGCTCCGAGCATGTCGCCCTCACTCCCCCCAGGGCATGTGGGCTTCAAAGCACTGGCGAGCGTGTGGGAGTCATTAGACCTGCAGGGAGAGGCAGGCTGCCGGGGAGCTGAGCACCAGAGCCTGCTTCAAAGCCACTCTGGGGTCACCAGGAGACCCCTAACCTGGGCCCTGCCCAGCATGGCCCTGCAGGTGGGGGCAGCTTCCTCCCCCAGCCCCATGCCAGGGCCTGGCACAGGGAATATGCCCGGAAGGCCCTTCTCCCTGCGGTTTTGTTCTCCTTCAAGGGGGAGTAATTAATATTAATTGGGTAACAATAGAGAGGCCAGCGGCTCTGAGGCTGGGCCCAAGCCCCTTCAGGAAGGACACCTGTGCCTTTGGTGATGAGAACAAGGCCAGTGAGTGGCCCGGGGTCCCCACATCACATCCAGCAGGTTCCTCAGGGCTCAGAGCTTCAGCCTGGGCAGTGAGTGGTGGGGCAGAGGACTGCGGGGCCTCTTCTGGAGAATGGATGACAGGAGAATCTCAGAGAAGCACATCTTTATTCCAGCTAGGGCTGGGGTGGGTCCTGTGGCTGGCAGGGTGGGCAGCTCCAGGTGGATGGCTCTCACCTCTTGCTGGCTGTGGCACAAACAAACCAGGATGACCACAGGGTCCTGGGCCCCCGCCCAGCCATGCGGCTCTCCTGCGCCCCGCTGCACCCCGCCAGCCACCCATGCAAGCACCTGGCAGCTTGAGCCACGTGGGCACCTTGCCCAGACTCCTCCTCTTGGGCTGGGCCGTCCCGGAGATAGGTTCAGGGGGATCCAGTGCCCCTTCCTCAGCAGTTGGCTCAGACTCGAGGGGCACAGGGTCAGGGGCTGGCAGCGGAGGTGGGGACCCAGTGGCCCTGGACATGCACCTGAGGGCGAGATGCCAAGGCATGGGATGGCAGGCCCTACCTCAGAGGACCCCGCCCCCACAGGCACACACCTGGCCACCAGCACATCAGCCGCAGACGGGGAGACGGTGTGTTCCAGCAGCCTAGGCTCCAGGTAGAGACCTGCATGGAGGACCCAGCCCACTCTCAGCCACAGGGAAAGCCCCACCCCCCATCCACCCACGTTGGCTCTGGGAGGGGGTTTGCCCAGGCAGGTGGATGTCTCAGCCCTCGGACCCCAGGGTGGCGGGTGTCAAGGGCCACAGGTCTCCGTCCCAGACCCAAATGCCCTCCAGGGCATCTCGCTCTAGGGGTTAGGGAACAGGCTGGCAGTGACCTGCAGGGCAAGGGCCCCCCACTCACCTGCTGGCTCCTCAGCTCCAAAGTGCACAAGGGCGGCAGGGAAAAGGTTTGCCTGCAGAGAGGAGAGGTGGGCTCAGGGGGCGGGTGACAGCCTCTGCTGAGATGGCCACAGCCCCTCCCTGCCTCCCCAGCCCCCAGGAGCCCCCATCTCCCATCTTCACCTGCTCCCTGCTTCCCACCAACCCCACCACAAACAAGGCCAGGATGTCCTGGACCCCAGGGACCCTCCCTGGGACAGCCCCAAGCCCCAGCTGGAAGATGAAGCTCTGTGGGGTACAAGTTCTGGCATTTTCCACCACCTCACTGCCTCCTGCCCAACTGTGGCATCAGCAATCACTTGAGGGCACAGCCTCAAAGCCCCCCATGCTCACTTCCCACCACAGGAAGTGCGCAGCCAGCAGAGAAGGGCGGACAGATGGACGCACAGTGCTGGACGGGTGGGGGTCTGTGGGCAGAGGATGGCAGGGGCAGACTGCCACCATTGGGGAGCAAAGAGCCAGAGGACAACAGGGCGGCCTGGGGCGCCTCCCAACCATCCCCCCACCTCGTGTCACCCAAAGAACCAGGTTGGGGCGCCTGTGGGCTAGGGGTCTCCTTCGTGCCCGAATGCTGCGGGAGGGGGAGCAGATGGCAGCCCAGGCTATCAGCCAGGGCTTCAGGGGAGGGTCCCGGGCTGAGAGAAACTGCCCTGGATAGCCCACCAGCCAAGACCCCAGAGCCCATCACTACTGGGGAAAAGCCCACCCTCCAGTTCCCAACTGGGCACTCAGGCCTAAGCCTGGTAGGGGAGAGCCCGCCGCCAGCCAGAGGGAGGGGTGCCACACTGGGGTCCTCACTTCACACGCTGAGGGTCTGGGAACTGGGTCTGTCCTGAGCCTCGCCCATCCAAAGTGGGGGTTGCAGGGCTTCTGCTCAAGGACTGGCCCCATTGGCTCAGGCACAGGTGAGGACAGGGCAAGGACAGGGCCGCTTGCCTCCACCCCCCACCCCCACCCCCCGCTGCCGCCGCCGCCGCCGCCGCCACAGGGAAACTGGACCAGGTGCAGTGTCGTCGGCTGCAGATGGGACCCGATCCTCCTGCCCTCCTCTCTGGCTTCTGCGCTCCTGACCCTCAGGGAAGGGGCTGCAGCTGTGGACTGAAGGCGTTGTTTCCTCTCCCCATGCAGCCCCAGGCTGCCGGGAGTGCCACAGGCTTCTGGGAGGGGGTTAGGGGTCTGGGGATGTCAATGTTGAAAGATTAACAAGAGGAAGCTTCAAAGGCCAGGCCCAGAAACTCTGAATCCTCAGCCTCCAGCCAGAAGCCAAGACACAAACAGGGCCGCTAAGCTTTGACAGCCCAGGATCAAAGTGAGAAAAGGAGAGCCTGGGGGTGGAAAGGGGCGCAGCAGCCTAGGGAGTCAGGAATGGGGCCTGGGGAGGACAGTGCCGGAACCTTTCTGGGCAGCTCAGCATGGCTGGACCTGACTCTGGCCCCCAAGTTACAGCCTTGGCCTGGCCTACCCGCCCAGGGCACTCTCCAACCACCGGAAATGTGTGTTCCCATTTCACGAGACCTTGCCCAGACTCACGCATGTGCTGCAGCCCGACCCTGGCACTCATCAGAAGCACAGTCAGCACTGTTGTGCAGGAGGCTGGTGGCTCCCATCTGTGCCCAGCCCACTGCTGGGCCAGGGGGCCCCCCCCGGAAGCTATTCAAAGGGGCTAGTGGCCCAGCAGCACCAGGTGTTCTCACAACCCCCACAGGCCAGGACCCCTCACCTGCACTGCAGGGGAAGTGCAGAGAGGGGCAAGTGGGCTTGGGAGCACTAGGGGAGGGTAGAAGGACACCCTGTGTTCAGCCTGCACCACTGCGCAGGGAGCACTTGGCTGGACAGGGGGGTAGTCCCCTTCACTTGGAGAAAGAAACAGGAGGGTCAGCAGACCAGGTGGCACCGAGGCTCACCAGTTTGGGTGAGGCTAGGCCTCTGGATGGGCCCAGGAAACAAGCCTCCCAAGTCCCACACCACCTCCTCCTCTTACCCCCACAGACAGCTCCCTCTGCCAGGGTCCAAGTGCCACTGTGGCCCACTGTGCAGCCTTGCTGGGAGCCAGATGGATAGAGCTGCCCCACTCCATCCTTCTCCAACACACCCCAGGGCCTGGGCTAGGGTAAGATGGGGCAAGCAGGTCATGGACCCCCGCCCAGTCCTGAGCAGAACCTGGGGAGGGATCTCTGAGGATAGGCCTGAGGATGATGGAAGTTTTGGGCCAGCCCCGCACAGCACCTGCTGCAGACAAGAGGAAGACCTGAACCCCAGATACCAGGGCTGCCCTGCCTCTGTTCCATACTCCCGGGCACAGCCTGAGGACTAGGAACCACCCCTCCCCAGCCACCGTCCAGCACAGTGGGACCCCAAGTTCAGCCTACTCTCTAGCACACCTGTGACATCATTGCCCTCTCCAGGGCACCTTGCCCGTCCCACCCAGCTCCTGCCCCTCATCTACATTTCCAGCATGAACAGCCGCTGCGACCCAGCCAACCTCTGGGGAAAAGCGGCCAGGGGAGGGGCCTGGCGGGCCGTCGCCATGGTGTCAGCCCACTGAGGGGAGTACCGGACGCCCTGTGGAGGGTGCGGCGGCAGCAGCTGCCCTGCCTTCCACATGGCCCCATGGCAGCACTGGCCATGTTCTGGAGGTGGAGACAGAGGCAAGGCCCAGTGTGCAGGAGGAACAGATCCCATCAGTCCCAGAGAAGCCTGGAGGATGAACAGATCAGCAGCGCTGGGAAGAGGTCTGCTGCCTGCAGTGGGCAGAGGAGGGACCCACAAGGGGGGCTGAGCAGGTGCTCTAGGGCCTGCAGGGGCAGCAATACACCGGCCAGGTGAGGCAGCCAGGCAGCAAGGGCCTGTGCCACAGCAGGGGGCAATCCTTGCAGCAGCACAACGCAGGGAGGCTGTCAGGATCTGTGTCCTCCAGAATCCACGTGGAAGTGCCAACACCAGGACCACAGACTGTCACTCTGCACTTGTCCCTCCGCATCCATGGGAGGTTGCTTCCAGGACCCCCAGGCATACCCAGACCACTGACACTCCAGTCTTGCAGTCGGCCCTCCATACCCGCGGGTTCCCCATCCTGATAACACTATTTTTTTTTTCCTTTTTGTCTTTTTTCGTGACCGGCAACGGGATCGCAACCCTCGGTGTTGCGCCCGCACCTCGCTCAGCCAGTGAGCAGGAACCGGTCTGTATGTGGGATCCGAACCCTCGGCGGGAGCGCCGCTCCCAAGCAGCACTGTAGCAGTGCGCCACCAGGCCGGCCCCTGATAACACTATTTTTAACCCTTGGCTGGTTGAAAAGAACCTGTGTGTAAGTGGACCCGCAGTTCACACCCACGTTGTTCGGGGGTCTATGACAGTTGGAGACAGGGTGTTTAAAGAGGCCATTAAGGTAAAGTGAAATGAGATTGCTAGAGTGGGCCCTCATCCAATATGACTGGTGTCCTCTCACAAGGGGAGGAGACTGGGACGCAGACACACACAGGAACGACCACCTGAGGACACAGGGCTTAGAGCCCTTAGCAGAAACCCACCCTGCTGACCCAGATGGGGCTTCCCCAGCACAGCACAGCCCCAGATGGGAGCAGAAGGAAACTGGCCCAGCTGGGCGTGGCTAGGGCGAGGAGGGGGACAAGTGCGCAGGCCAAGGAGCCTCCATCTTGGCGGAGCAGGAAGAGCCACAAACTGGGGGGCGGGTAGCACCCCTGGGAAAGAGCCCGGGGGCCAGCCCCTCTGGCTGAAAAGACGAGATTGTCCTGCCAGGCGGGCCCCTGGAGAGGGGGAGGCACCCGCTCTCTTCAGGATCAGGAACTGCCAACCTCCTCAGTCGTACCCCAAGAGCTGGGCTGCTGCCTCCTCCTCAGCCCCAGGACCTAACAGCCCCTGAGCTGCCTCCCACCTCCCCATCTCCAAGACTCCAGGTGTGGCCAGGGACAGACCCACCGGGGGAAGGGGACGGCCTGCGGCCAGGGCCTCCTCCCTGTGCTGAGCGGCTGTGCATCACAAGGGCAGGGGACACGCGCCCAGGCTCACCGGCCCCTCACAGGCTGATGCACTGCACCAGAGCCAAAGCTCACCTGGTCCAGGCTGGGGTGTGCGGGAAGGACCTGGGCGGTGCTCAGTCCTGCTGGCACGCCTGTCTGTGGGCCCACCTCTGCCCCTCTCCTCTTTCTCTGCTCCAGACTTGGAGACAGGGCACCCAGTAGGGCCCAGTCTGGGGTCTGCAGAACCACCTGAGGCCTTGAAGGAGGACCCCTCCCCCAACAGCAGGGTTCCCCAGGCTTCCCTGCCTGCCCTCGGCACTGGCTTACGCCTCGTGGACCGCTCCATTCCATGGCTGGGGCTGAGCACCGGCAGCACTCCAGGCCCTCGTCCAGCCCTACCTGACAGCCAGCACAGGCAGAGACCTGGCCAGTACTGCAATCCACCCCCTCGGCCCCGAGGACCACGGGTCTGGGGCAGCAAGACAGAGGCGGGCCAGAGCTGATTCCAGCCACTGGAAAACACCGGGAGTCAGGAGAAGGTGGACCTCTCCAGCCTGTCGGGGGCCTGGGGCCCTGCAGGCCATGTGAGCGGCGCCTGAGCCAGGGCCCGGCCTCCCCCCAGGCTGGGCCTTGATGTCCCTCCAGTGGGATCGACAGACAGAGCTCATATTGAGGGGATCCCTGGAGACCACAGGCAGTGTCAAGGGCCTGCTAAGGATTATGCCACGTCCCTGGGCAACTCAATGGCAGGGGCTGAGACGGGGCCGGGAGTCCTGGGGCTCAGGCCCAGGAAGGAGGTCTGAAGTGGGGCTGGGGGGCCGGCTCACTCGGGAGAGTGCGGTGCTGATAACACCAAGGCCCCGGGTTCGGATCCCATATATAGGGATGGCCGGTTCACTCACTGGGCTGAGCGTGGTGCTGACAACACCAAGTCAAAGGGTTAAGATCCCCTTACCGGTCACCTTTTAAAAAAAAATTAAAAAGTGGGGCTGGGGACTTTGCTCCCAGCAACTGCTTCCCGCATTCTCCCACTCCCTGTCCTCACTCCTGACTCCCCCCAGCCCTCCTGGAAAACCCTCACCCTCCTGGGCCAATGGCCACAAGGGACAGCTGGGCTGCTGTCCCCCCACACACCCGGTGCTGTCAGTCTATGGAGCAGGGCCGCCCCGGACAGACCCCAGGCAGCCGGCAGCCAGAGCGCGGCCCTGCCAGAGACATAAAAGCTGGCGGCTTCCGCACCCGCCGCCTGCTCGCCTGCCGGAGGGAGGCAGGCTGGCTTCCTTCCCTCAGCCCTGCCAGCCCTCTGATCGCGGGCGGGCAGGCGGGCAGGGACGCCATCCCGCGCGAGGCCCTGCGGCTGGAGCCAAGCTGACAGATGACAGGAGACGGCTGCTGTGGTGGGGCAGTGTCACCAGGAATCAGGCAGCACGCGGGCTGATGGCGACACCCCAGGGCTCTGTGGGTGTTGGGATGGGGGCCACCATCCTGAAGCATCTTCCAAACTCAATGTTTATCAAGAGGCTGGACAGCGGGGGAGGGACGGGGGGCAGACAGGAGAGAGGCCCAACGAACGGGGGCTCTGGGGACCGAGACGGCAGCCCTGGGTCAGGGGTGACTGTCCCTGCCCACGTCCCTCCCCACAGCCTTGCCCCATCGCCCCGAAGTGGTAGCCCCAGCGGCGCCCGGCGCCCCGACCCAGACCTCTGCCAAGGCCTGCTGGCCACTTAAGAAAGGGCCCGCCTCTGTTGTTAATTAAAATATCTGAAGAGACTTTGAAGAGGAAACATCAGGCCCCAGGGGCTGGGGCGGCCCCGGGCTGCTCCCCCTGGGGGCAGAGGGACAGGACATTCATTCCTCCTGGCTCTGGAAGGCGGCCCCGCAGGGCACGGGATCAAGCGCGCCTCACCCTCGGGGGCTCTCGGCGGCCGGCGGGAGGGACAGGCAGAGGCGGCCAGCTAGCGGGGGGCCGTGGCATTCCCAGCAGACGCCAGCCAGGGTCCAGGCGGGGCCCAGGAGGAACCGGCAGGGAAGCAGGCCGGGCCACAGCCCCTCACGTGCGGGCGGCCGCCTCTTCAAGGGCTCTGGTGGGCCCCTTCCTCACCCAGACGCTGGGCGGGGAGCCGGTGTCGCCCCAGCCCTTGGCCCTGCAGCCCAGGGGCCAGGACCTCCCGGCGGCCCCAGCTCAGGACGGCCAGCCAGCCAGGCCCAGCCCACCCGGGGCCGGGCAGGAAGCGGAGGAGGAGGAAGGCGCTGTCGGAAACCACCTCGGAGGCCGCGGCTCCCTCCACGCTCACTGCTCTAAAGGGCTTCATTATCCGCAGCGGCTGCCGGGCCACTCCTTCCCCGGCCCCCGCCCCAGCAGCGCCCCGCAGCAGCGGTACCTGAAAGAGGGTCAGCGTGTGGTCGTCCAGGACTGTTTTTGGAGGAGCGATGACTGCGGGGAGAAGGTGGCATCTGTTAAGAAGGGCGTCACCCCTCGTCCACAACCCATGGGAAGACAGGCCTGAGGGTGGGGGGCATTTCTCTAGAGCCCCTCAGATCACAGCCCTCCGTCACCTCCACTACCTCTGCAAAAGTCCTGGCGTGGGGCCAGATGGGCGACCCACCCGCAGGGGACCCCACCCCGCATGGCCCGTGGGCCGGTGGCCTACCTCACCACCCAGCCGCCCTCCCGTGGACGCGAGCCGCTCGCCCCAGTCCACCCGGCCCCTGCATATCTCAAGCCAGAACTCACACAGGTGAAAGGGCAGGTCCGGGTTCTCCAGGTGGCTCCTCACAAAGTCTCGCAGGTCCCCCACTGCAGAGGGGACAATGAGCAGACCCGCTCATGGGCCTGCCTCCAGCCCTCCTGAATGCCACTGCCCAAGTCCCACCCACCCGGACACCACAAAGCCAGGCCGGGGAACTCGCCGCCAGCCTCGGGCACAGGTACCGGGACGCTGCTCCTAGCCTCTCAGCCAAGCCAAGCCCCAGGGTGGGAATTCAACCCTGTTCCTTCCATGACATCCCGATGCTCAGCCTGCCTGAACCACCATGCAGGTTGCTACTGGATCCCTGCCCTGCTGCAGGAGGCCCACCTGCCGTCAGCCCTGTGCCTGGCCAGGCCCCGAGCGTCCCCCCTGCCTCTCGCCCTCCCCACTGCCCCAGCTATCTTGGGTATGAGTCACTGAGGACCCCACACTGACCTTGGCAGCATGGCTGCCTGTCTCCGAGGTGAGCTTCATCTGGAGGGTACGGAGGCCCTGGGTCCACCCATGCCCAAAACAAGTGAGTGCATGTGAGCACCCAGGAGCCCAAGCTGCCCTGAGCTTGGACTGAGCACCTGGAGCAATAGCCAGTGCCCATGCCAGGCCCCACCAAACACTCTGCAATTCAGAGCCCTCAGTACCCCTTGGAGACGACAGCAGCCTGCAACCGCCCTGTCCCCCCAGAGCCTAACGGCCAGGTGGCCACAGTCCTGCAGCCGATAAGGATGGAACCAGGAGGAGCTCAGTGGCCCCATCCCTAGACACCCAGCAGGGCACCTACCTGTCTCACTGGGGCGGAAGAAGCCTTGCAGGATGTGGCGGTCGGGGAACAGGACCCTCAGGGCCACCTAGGCCGGGACAGCACAGCAGTTGGCAGGGTGGCCCCAGCACCTGGCCCCCACCCGGGCACAGACACCAGCACTGGGCGGGTGGAAGTGGCAGCTGCGCCCTGGCCTGGCTGTCCCCCCATGCACCTTGCCAGAGCTGCGGCCTTGGACACAGTGCGACAGGCTGGGTGGGGACAGCCAAGTGCCCGCGCATGCACACTGTCGCCTGCTCTCAGGTTTGCTGTTTAAAACTCTCAACGTAAAGTGCGAGGGGGAGAGTAATTGGGTGACCGACAGACCCAGGCTGCAGGTGCCGTGTCCCCGTGTGGGAGCCGCAGGAGCCCCGGCTCCGAGCCACGCCTCACACCCCCACCCGCAAACCTTCGGGTAGCGCTCCAGCTTCTCCTTCAGCTGGGCCTCCCTGAGGGCCCTGGTCACCAGCGGGGCTTCTTCCAGGCGCTTCCTGTGGGGAGAGGCGGTGGAGGCCCCCGTGAGTGGATTCCGTGTTTCTCACCTGAACCCCAGGAGCCCCTACCTGGGCCCGTGTGCTGCTGAGGGTATGGGTCCATGCCGCTGAGAGATATGACACACAGAGACAGACGTGGGGGATAAAGCCAGGAGACAGCGGGGGAGGGGCACCCACCGCTCACTCTTGAGCTGGGCCAAGCGTCTTCTTACGTCATCCACGGTCACCTCAAAGAACTCATCAGGCAGCTCTGCTGGCCAGGCCTGGAGCAGCTCCTCCAGGTCAGGGTGGCACACCACAGGGTCTCGGTCCAGGGGCTGGGGGCAGAGGCCTTGGCTGACAGCAGGCTCAGGGCGGGGGGGATCTCAGCTCTGTGAGGCCCCCGAGCAGAGCTCACGCCCTCCCCTAGCCCACCTGCCGCACAGGGCCGAGGTAAGGCCTTGAGGGCAGGGCTTGGGACGGCAGGCTGCGGGATCCCACCCCAGACCGCGCCTGTCCAGGGCTGGATTCCCTCCGTCACTGCCTACCAGTTTACCAACCCTCGCTCTCCAGCAGGGCCCCTAAGTCCGGCTTGGGCCAGGTGGGCACCAGTCACTGCTGAGGCCTTGGGGAGAGGCAAGTTGCAGCATGGGCAGCTGCCATGCACACCTGCCTCAGTTGGGGTACCCTGAGAGCAGGGAACCAACCTGGTAGCAGAGTGCCCCAGCTATGCCACGTCAGGGGCTCCATAGAAAGGGGGTGGGGCAGTGACAGCCACCAAATTAGAGTGTTGGCAAAAACCCCAGCCCAGCTACCCTGACTGTCCCCGCTGCCCTCTTGGCCGCAGCCCCAAGCCAGGCTGACTCCACCTCTCCCTGCCCCCAGGGAGCAAGCCAGCCCCTCCCTCTGCCCACCCTGGGGACACGGGAAGAGAAAGTGTCTCTCCTAATTGGCATCAACGGCAATGAAATTACAAGGCAGGGCCCACCCCACTGCGGTGCTCCGGGTGGGTAATTTCAGCAAGTTCAGTCCGTGTGGTGTTAGGGGTGGGACAACACCTCCTTGGTGCTGAGGCCACCGGGTAGGGCAAGGCCAGACTGGGTGCCTAGCTGGGCCATAGGGCCCACACTCGGTCCTATCCTCCCTCACACTAAACAGCCAAAGCCACCAAGGGAGGCAGGTGGCCCCAAGAACCCACCCTCACCTTCACCTCCTGCTCCTCCGGCACCTGGGCCCAGGCTCGGCAGGCTCTGGAACCACCACCTCCATCCCTCCCCTCCCTCAGCCTGGCCAAGCCACAGCCCCATCGCCCTGGGGATGTCCTTCTGGACCTAGACTGGCTGGCTCTGCCCAGAGTTTGGGGACCAGACACATCACACTGGGACAGCCTGGCCACGCCATACACCTGTCCCAGATGTCTCCAGGGCTGCCCCTGCTCTTGAGGCCTGACTGTCCATGGACAACAGGTCCCTGTAGTACACCGAGCACAAGTCTCATCACGTCTCATCACGTGGCTCTTTGGCTCTGGTCTCAGGCATCGTCGTGTCACACAGGCCAGGAAGGGCTGGCTGAGGCCGGGGCAGTGGGGCCCACAGGTGGCTGACCAAGCCACAACCACCCTGCAGCCGCCAGGGCGGTCTGCACCAGAGCTTTTTATAACAAGATGCCAGGCGCCAGGCTGCCCCCCACGGCCACAGTGCCCGCATTCCAGAGGGCTGCGAGTTCGCCTGGGATCCCAGGGGAGGGTGAGGGCAGAATTTGAATGTGCCCCAAGCCAGGAGCTGCTGTGTCCACCAGCGGCCAGGCCAGGCAGGGGCAGGTGGGGATCCTGACACGGATGCAGGCTCAGGCATCCAGGAGCAAAACCGAGTTAAGGAGCAGGCCCTGGCACACGTGTCACCCCAAGAATCCACGCTGTGGGTGATGGGCAGTGGACGGCATCACACGGAGCCTGACCACCCAGACAGGTCCCTGTCCCCCAGACACGCCACGCAGAGAGGACAGAGGCCAGCAAAGCCAGGCCCAAGGAGTGTGCGGCCACCCTGGGCTCTCCTGGGCACAGCTGGGAGTCACCAGGGAGGACGGTGGGTAACTGGCATGTCCACACCCTGGGCAGAGAAGCCCGATTCGGAGCAGCCTCGTGGGCCTGGAAGGGACAGCAAGAGCTTGCTGCCACCAGAGCCGGCTGGGGGAAGCTGAAGCTGAGAAAGTACCACCAGAAGGGCCCGGACCAGAGTCTCCTGCGAGAACAGACGATGTCTGTGGCTGGCCTGGTAGGAAATATCACTTTGCCGCCAAACGACTAAGGGAGAAGCCAGAGGACACACCATGAGTCAAAATGCTTCAAACACCCATCAGCTTAGCTCTGGAACCTTCCCCAGGAGAGCTCATTTCCATCACAGAGATGAGGGTGGAGGTGCTGACCGCGGGACCTCAGCACAGTGGCCTCAGGGTACTGGGGAGGCCGGGCAGAGCCGCTCTGAGACACGGCTGGCCCTGTTTACTTGGGATGCTCTGCCCAGCAGTCTGGCCCTCAACTCCAGCTGTGTCAGCATCGACAGGTATTATGTGGGGCTCCCACCCGAGGTGAGTTTACAGAGATGTCTTTGGAGAAAGAACAGAGATCTGCAGATGAGATGTCATTAGGAAAAGAGAAGGTACACGGTGACAGCTGTGAGGGAGAGCCAAACCCGACGACACGGGAGGGACGCCCTGGCACACACCTGCCCACAGCCACATCCTAGCGTCGGTCAGGGAAGAAGATGTGAGGGGCTTCTAGGACCTGCTCGTGTCCAGAAACCGCCTCCCAGCTGGTGCCCAAGAGATAAGAAAGGATCTGATCCTGTAGCCCTTCTGGCCAAAATGATGCTAAGGGTGAGCCGTCCTGGAGACCCCAGCACAGAGATGTGAGGGGCTTCTAGGACCTGCTCGTGTCCAGAAACCGCCTCCCAGCTGGTGCCCAAGAGATAAGAAAGGATCTGGTCCTGTAGCCCTTCTGGCCAAAATGATGCTAAGGGTGAGCCGTCCTGGAGACCCCAGCACAGGGGCAAGAGGGGAAGGAGGGGCTGGGGTGAGAACCGGCCCACACTGTCACCTTTCCCTGCCCCAGTGTTCTGTCTTGAAAGATTTCAACTCCACGGAAACGCTGGCAGACGCAACAGTGCACAGGCCTCACACAGATGGTGACATCTTACTTCATTCTCTATCACAGGTGTACATGCACACACATGCACACATGGCACACACACGCATAGATATACAAGCACACAGACACACACACATGCACACAGCACACAAGCCCATATATGCATGCACAAAGGCACACAAGCACACAGACATGTACGTGTACACAGCATGCAACCACGCACATGCATAGAGCACACAAGCACACACACATGCACACAGCACACAAGCCCACATATGCATGCACACAGGCACGCAAGCACACAGACATGTACGTGTACACAGCATGCAACCACGCACATGCATAGAGCACACAAGCACATGCACATGCACATACAGGCACACATGCACACACACAGCATGCAAGCACCACACGCACACAGGTGCACACACAGCACAAGGGCACACTCATGCACACACACACACACAGGCATGCACACGCACACGTACACACAGCCCATAAGCACACACGAACATATACACACACAGGCACACACACGTGCACATGTCCACAGGTGCATGCACACTTCCTGCTCACTTGAGAGACAACTGCAGGAGTCACCAACCCCCAGGAGCCCAGCAGCACCTGCTGGGAATGAGGGCCTGTCCCCATTGGGAGCCCAGCAGCGTCACATAGAGCTAACTGGAAACGTCTCTGCTATCCCTAAGTAGCTAGACAGCCTTTCTCACATGAGGTTGTCTCACTGGGGACCATGCCCAGCCTCTGCTGTGCTCCCCACTCACCCAACACAGGCCTGCATCAGCAGGATGTCCACTGTCTGGTCTTGTCTGGCTCATCTGTTCCTTGTGCTGAGATTCAGGTTAAAGTTTTGGAGAGAAAGACCACTAGGGCTGCCCTGTCATCCCTTCAAACAGTCCAAACTGGAAAGGCTACTGCAGCAGGGCCAGTGCCAGGGAAACCAGAGAGCTGAGCACCCCCACCATGGGGTCAGAGCTGTGGTGGGTTTCCCCAGATGCGGCCTGGCAGGTGTCCCCCAGGGCCTCATCAAGCCCCAGGAAGCCCCTAAGCTCAGGGCCAGTGCTCGGGCTGCCTTCACCCAGCATGCTTGGTGGCCGAGGACAAGCACAGAGCCTTCCAGAGGCTGGGTGAGCTTTGCCTCTCAGGTGGGGCCTCTGCTGTGCTCCTCCCAGGACCTGCCCGTCCACAGGGCACACGTGCACAGAAGCACAAGGAAACAGCGGGCCTGCTCCAACAAAGGACAGCAAGTCAGGACCCAGTGCCACCTCTGCCCTGCTGAGCCTAAGTCAAGGCCACATGCTCCCAACATTGAGCATTTCACGTTACCATAACTCCCGGCAGCCCCATCACCCCACCCCATCACTCAGTGCTGGTCCTATAGGTTCTGCTCTGCCTGACAGGGGGCCAGGCCTGCTCTAGAAGAACATGCAACATTTCCAGAGCATTCGCTGCCCTCAGGCTCCCTGAAACCTCATAATCTCACAAACTGCTTTCTCCAGCAGAGGTAACAGTCAGCAGCTCTGTGACCCGCCGGGGAGTCTGGCCAGGGAGGAGTTGATCTCTCAGAGCTGACCTGAAGAGGCCTGGGCCTGAGCCCTGCAGTGGCGGCAGACCACGGGTCCCTGTGGGAGTGCCTGGGCTCTTCGAGAAGGGCTGAGTGCTGCTGACAACTGGCCTTCGTGGCCACATCTCCCACACGGCTCCAGAGGCCTCCAAGGAGCCCCCACACAATGACGCCTTTGCCGAGACCTCAGGGTCACAGGGCCTGGCTGGCCTTCCACCTCCCAGACTCAGGGCTTAGGCTCCTGAATGTGGTCAGTCTCCAGAGACTCAGCCCCAGGACCCCCATCTTCCCAGTCCACCCCTTTATGCCAGTAAGAGCCAGAGGCTCAGTTCCTCCCCTAGAGCCCCAGACACTGCAGCCAGAGGAGCAGCGGGCAGCAGTGGGACATCTCGGGGACACGGCCAGAGTCCAGCACATGGGGGCCTCCTGAATCCCCAAAATGAGCCCCCAGGGCAAGGTGCATTGTCACTGCCACCCGACAGATGAGGAAACTAGGCATAGAGTGCCCGGCCCCTCTGCTGCCCATGGGCTGTGCGAGACCTATCCTTCAGGAGAAAGCCCCTCTTGCATAAGCCCCGGCCAGGGGGGTCTTGTCTTGTTTCCTGCAAACA